GTTTCACTATGGGCCTCGAAACGTCATCTTGCTTATCATATTTAAATCCGAAAAAGTCCATACACAAATTATATTCAGACTGTCCTGCCAGACTTCATATACGTTGTCTCAAAGTCTCTTCTGTCATGTTCGTTCTGATAAAATGAGCTACTTTCACACATTCTTGTACTCATTGCAAAGTATAATCGCTGACGGCGTCACCTGCTTTATCTTCAATCGGTACCTTCGACTACCTCCATGGCACCTCCTGTACCTCGTCGCATAGAAATTTCCAACTAGCCCAGTTTGACTTTCCTTCTAAATTTCCGATTTGAAGTTTTGTCGAAGATCCTTGCTACTCACGAACTTATAAATTAAGACGGACTGCTGATCAAACAGTTGCATAGAGGTAGAAATGGCCCCAGCATGGGCGCGGCCAAGATGAGCACGTTTTAGTTATTTTCTAGGGAAATTTTCCTAGTGCTCAAGTTTTGAGACTATTGCAGCCTTGGAAAATGACATGTGTCACAGTAATTTATTTAGAAAACGTGAGGTTAATGCTTGTTTATTAGTTGATTTGAATTTCGCGCCAAGTGAGTGCACATCATGGCTACCCCCATGTAGGTGTCATTTGTCAATTCAGCATTAGCAGTCCACCTTAATTTATAAGTTCGTGTTGCTACTTCTCCTGTCCTGAGCCTAATAACTTCACTTGTAGTGCAACAGAAAAATTGGAGAGTATCTATCTCGTTTTATTATCCAATTTTCCAATAGTCTTTTTAGTGCTTCTGCTTCGGCTTCAGTTTCTCTTCTTGCAACTTCAGCTTCCTGTGTTGGCTTTTGAGCTTCGATTTGTTCTTCCTGTTCGGCTCTCTACTCTCTAACAAATCCCACTCACAAATTGCCCAATTCACCCGAGGCCTGCTTATTTTGACTGGGGTTTTCCGATTGACATTTTCCGACTGATATGATTTCTGACGCTCCTAGTCCTGTGGTGGAATGTCAGTTCTTTCTTCAATTGCTAAACGGGTTCCCAGCGCTCAGACTGCTACTCAAGGGTGGCTAGATTATTGTTGTTTGAGCCATTCAAAATTACAGTTTGGACTACCTGCTCCCAGCGAGGGTCGAAATTTATTGAAGGAGTCGGATCGTAAAAGTGGTACTAAAACTGTTATGGTCTCCGCACTTTCATCGATAACAATTAGACGTAAATATTGACGACTTCGAAACGGCACGTGTCACTTCCAAATAGTACTGTTCAGACTTATCTTATCGGCTCATCGCAAAAATAGGACCGTCTATTGGGAAACGGGTACTCCAGATTAATCTTTTCGTCGTTATCTTCCTGCACGATCGGCGGCAACACCTCATCATCCAACCCCCGTGGCGTTCACGTGGGGGTGCGTCGGGGTCGGGGGTGTTCGAGTTTCATTTTCGATCACCGCGGCTCCTAATTGCGATAATTGCACCCGATTTTTTTTTACAGTTGAGCGTGCACGGCTGCTTTTATGTAATTTGGCGCGCACAGTTTGGCATAAAAGTAGGGAGGACGAGCGCGTCGCGAGCCGCCACATTCTAACGTTAAACTTTAAGCGAACCAGACGTGCGTGTTCTCAAATTTTTGTGATAACCATCCAGGGGAAAAATTTTCAAAAATAAACAAACAATGTCGCATAAAACAGATCGCGCGCCCTTGCACGGGGTTTATAAGGTAAGCAATTTTTTTTCAACTTTTCGCGCTTATTTCAAATTTAATTGGGCGAAGCGCGCGCGCTTTTCCAATTTTCCGCCAGCGCCGCGTTTTCCAAATCTGTGTAATTTCTCTGTTTTTCGCCCGTCGAAATTTTGCCGACAGTTAAAAATAACGTTAAGCAACATCGGCCACTGAAGACGTGACGTCATGGAAAGTTTTCAGAGAGGTATTTCTTGCAACGCGCGGCAGAAATAATCGCGCCCAACAATTCGTTTTGTAATCCCTCTCCACCTCCGCTTTCATTATTCTCTCTTTTACTCGCCAATTTTGAGTACTTATTGCACGTGGCCTAGGCGACCTTGCGCTGGGAACAATTGCATGGGAAATTAGGGTCGTTTATGCTGATGTAACTTATTTTAAAAATGCATCAAAACGTAAATAAATGCCGAATTGGCGAAGACGCGCCTTTATTATAAATAGAAGGGGACGTTCACTTTTCTCTATTAATCCGGGCCGAAAATACAACCGCTCCCGTGCCACGACATAGGTACCCCCCGTAATCGGTTCATGCATTTATTTGCAAAATTAATGATGCGAAACGTAAATAAGCAATAAAGATAAGATCTCCCATCGATAATTAATTTGGAAGATGTCTCTTCAATGAATGATATCGCCTTTTTAATATGTGTCAATGCCGCGACCTATCCTTTTATTGTGTATAAACCAGTTTTAGAACTCATTAATTAATTAAATATGGCAAAATTAAATATAGAACTGGAATCGCGCGCGCGGCGAGGGGGTCATTCTTATTCTGAAACTATGACTAAGTCCCTTCGATGAATTTATTACCGCAAATTATATCAATTGTAAGCGATATTTCCGCGTGCAATATTTGGGGAACCCCCTCCTGATACGTTGCGGTTCTAAAAAAATTCCATTTTTTTTATTTGTTTGCGAAGTGACTTACTCGATGTTTGTTTTACTCACTTTAAGCCTAACTAATTAAACCAGTGACGTTTATCTGTCGGTTATAAATTACCCACAAATTGGTGAGTTTCGCAAGTCACTTGAGAAAATAATTATTGAATTTTTAACGAAATTTGGTCCTACCCCAAATTTGAACCTACATGCTGTAGGGCATGGTTCCCAAACTTCCCCCCTTGCATAAAATAAAATTGGGCCTCTACGGCACTGTCAAACATTTTAATATGAGAATCAATTATGATTGTTTCCACGGCTAGCTCAGTAATAAAATTGTTTTTTATACCCCTTATCTTGCGGAAGTTTGGCCTTTTATCTCCTCTTAAAATCTGAATCCTTTGAAGGCTTCTCTTACATGGCGACTATCTAACATCGTGTTCCATGTGGCCCTGTGCTGGGTTTGGGTGTATTGAATTATTAAGTTGTTTACAGTTGCAACTGTACTGTAAGTTGATGAGCGGGCTCTGGACCGTAAAACATCTGTTTTGAGACCAGTCGGGCTAACTCATCCAGTTCCAGCATACCCTTTGATCAATGCAAGCTCAAGGGTATTACTACTTGCATATTCCTAAACCAACCTAGCCGTCCTTTTACAGGGACCAAGTGGCTGCAGGGCAGCCTGGCTGTCACTGGAGATTGTGATAGTTTTCTTCTTTGTAATGCATAAGAACTGTTCTTGCACTAAGCGTTAATCCTATCAATTCTGACTGGAATACAATAGAAAGTTTACCTAGTGGTTGGGTAATAAGGAGGTTCAGTTCTTTGGAGTAAAAACCAGTGCCCTCTATTGTTTTAGATCTATCCGTGAAGATAAATATATCTGGTGGGGATGCCACATACTCATCAAGAAAGATGTGATAGTTTTTCTCGAATATGAATTGAGGAGTGACCTTAATCGCCTTGTCCAGAATTCCAGATATTCAACAACCCCTGTATTTTTCAGACGCAAGGATGCCATGACGGCTGTGGGAGTTATTCGCATCGCGCTCGTGCAAGCAAGTCTTTGCACATGATTAAGAATTGCGACGGTTGTGGAGAGTCTGGTTCTAGGCCACCAGACAATGGGGGTTTACAGTATAGTTGAATTCCGCAGTTCTAATTTAATAAGCGTGTACCTGAAACCATAAAACATTTTTTTGGACAGTAAAAGTTTATTTAAAAATAGAGGCTGATTAGCAAAAAAATAATGAACATGTGCGGTTTTAAAGGTTTATTCAAAACGATATGATTGTGGCGGGCTCTGTGACGTAATAAGCCCGACCAATCAGCTCCTAGAACCATTCAGATGACATAACGACTTGGCAATATTGCAGGAGAATGGCATTTATAACTTGCGTCATCTGTCACAGGCACTTGTCACTTTCGTGCTAGATGCAGTTAAACATCCCTCTCAAACCGTCAAATGTGACAAACGTCAGACCCTCGCGTAAGGTTGCCAGCTCACTTCTACGTGATTGGTTGTAGGTTTATGACGTATTTAGTCTGAAACGTTTCAAATTCGGACTAAAAACACAGCTTTTCAATAATTTATTTTGGGTTTAGTTTACTCGCAAATAAAAATTGAGGACACACGGGTCTTTTTATTTTTAATGTACTTTGTGGATCAGAAATAAAAAATGAAGGCGTGATGACCCCATTGCTTCATAGCAGAACACAGGTCTTATCACCCAAATATACAGCCATAAGACACCTTTAGGGGCAGAGCTGGGCAGAATACTTTCAAAAAGTATTTGAATACTAAATACTTTTACGTCCAGCACAAGCGAATACTAGATACAGATACGAAAAGTATTCAAATACTTTAGAATGTATTCGAATACTATAAAAAGTATTCGAATACTTTGAAAAGTATTTCATTATCTTACTTTCAAAAGTATTCGAATACAGTAAAAAGTATTCAAATACTTGTCACTCAAATACATTTTACATTATTAGCCAGGTAAGTGAGTTTTTACTGGCGATAGGAGAAGTTGACTGGCGAGCCGTGAGGCGAGCCTGTCATCTCCTAGAGCCAGTAAAAACTATTACCTGGCGTATATTGTACAATATTTTATTTGTTACTCATTTGTAAACAATAGTAAACGTAAATAATTAGTTCTTAAATTGATCTTGAAGAAATGTCTAAAATATCATGTGATCCATGTAACAGAGAACTTCGCATTAATTCTGGCCAATGAAATTACTAGATTACTAACTTGTAAAATTTTTACAGGTCTGCTGTCAGTTTTACAAGTCTGCTGTCAGTTTTACAAGTCAGTAGCGTTTAAAGATGACGTTTACCCGTTTGCGTTTTGTCTTGTTAATCAACGTTTACAACTGAGTAACAAATAAAAGTATTTACCGCAAATGTAGGTATTAGATGCTAACATGCGTGCTGAACAAATTCATATTCACAAATCAATTGACAATCACCTGAAAAATCTTAAATATCTCTCACTGTTAAAGTAGCAGAGGCGGTTTCCAAACGGTATGGAACGAGTATCTTTGTCAGTTTCTTTCACGAAAGCTTCAATCTCCATCCAAGTCTCGCGTTGAAGAGGTATTTGCCTTGAATACCCTACCAATTCTAAAGGGTTGTTAAGTATAACCTTTAAACGTGCGAAAACATGTAAAGCGCACTTGGTGTTATTCTCATTTCACCTTAAATCCAGAACTTTTACGAAATCCACAGTAATATTCACTTAGATTTGCATTGAGTATCAAGCTCAGACCAAAAAAAACACCGGCACCCTCAGACCTCCACGGTATGCTTTCAAGGATGGGGTTTCTAGAGAATCCACGTTCTTGATCCCACTCCTCGACTATTATAGGGTAGGTGTACTTTAATCTGTCACTGTTGGATCTGTGCAAGAAAAAGTAATTGGTAAACTACGATGAACTTGTATGTACTGCCATGTTTCCCTGGACAGAGTTAAAATTACCAGAGCGATAAGCTGTTGTTTTCCACAACCACGATTGCTACACTAACAGGTACTGGGAGCAAAAATTTATTGGATAATTCATGTTCACACACACACACACACCCTCACCCTCTCACACGCACCCTCACGCACACACAAAACTGAAGTTACATCCAACAATCAATTAAAAAAAACGACATAATGAAATACGTTTTGATTTAAATGACATTACGAAAAGTATCACTTTTTCACGAGTTGGTAGGTACCTCTGGGTTCCAACATCAACCAAGTTTCGTTTTTAAAACTGATGTAATCGTCCTCGTCCATAAAGTCGAATCTTATTTGGCCTATGAGAATTTCGTAACAAAAAGTACACGCAGAAGTCGGAACAAACGAGAAAAATAATATCAAAATCCACCGGTAACTGAACTAAACTTTGTCTTCAGTTCAGATCATTAAAAACAAATGCTCTGACTTCAGAAAAATAACACACTACCTGTATCGCAATATGTAGCTGCTGGGCATTAAATTAAAGGTGCAACAAAGTCCTTCTTGTGTTATTGTGGGATTCATCCATTTTTTACAATCAATTTCTTCAGATTTCCAAAAACACCGCATTACCATATCGGAACATGAATGACCAATCTACAATATACGTGTATAATTTTGAAGTTACGAAGAGTTTATACCTGCGAGAAGAAGTGATTTATATCAACCGATGGGAAACTTCCCGTAGTAGCGTTTGCTGCAGTTATACTTACAAAGTTTGAGCGACAGAAATCTTTCAACATATCTTTTGTTATCGAATGACTGAAAACTTATAATTGCAATAGTATTTATTAACCCATATGTTTTTACTTGGTTTCATTTAGCATTCTGTGGGCTGCTGAACGTTTTACTCTGTTCACATTGCACACTGTGACAGTTGGAAAGGGAATGTCTGATACGAACACTGGCGTGGGGTTTTCAGTGATCGTAACTGGCACTTGCCTAATATATATTAGACTGACCCAATAACCGGCAAAAGATGCTGCGCCGATAAAACACAATAACCAACAGAATCTGAAATGTTGTTTTGTTATAGTTTTGTTAATGTGTTTCCAATTTTGTGGGGATAGAGAAGGTAATGTTTTCTTATGGCCCTAACCTAACCTAAGACTACATTAGAATACTTTTCTTCACACTCTTAATTCCCTTGATGTTTCCCGTCTCGGGAAATAATACATCTGGGAATTTGAATTTATAATTACTTTCCTTGTGTACGAATGAATAATAAAATATGATAATAATGATTATAAATCAATAACGATTGTTCGACATCACTGCTCTCATGTTCAATTGTAGTACTTGTCCTACAGTACTGAAGTTTCACGCATCAAAAGCAAGTCTAAAAATAGCTACTCCCCCTTCCGCAACCTTGCCCTTCGTAGGTAAAGTATTCATTCTTGTTTTGCGTGCGACTGGAGCTACACGCGTCATTATGGGTAAACGTAGCCGTGAAAAACTTAACGCTTTGGAAAAGGAACTTTTTAAGTTAAAAAAGAAATTGAAGAAGAAATCAGGAAATCGAGATTTTAATGGTGAGTCATTCTTCGTTGATATTTTTGTTTTTAGTCTTGATTACGCCGGCGTGCGGCCGTAATTACTTACAGATAGTGCTCTGTCAGTAATGCTTGACTTTGTTCAAGTAACGGTTTTTTGTTGCTCTTGCAACATTCCGTAAAAAGGATAGTGCTCCTTTTACGAAGCTAGAAAGTTTTCTAGATCTTTTACAAAATGCAATTAGTAATTTGTATTTTGTTGGGCGCAGGTAGACGCTCTTCGACTCCGACCGACCCTAGTATTATCTACGCGAACACTCCATCTCTGTCGGACCGCAGTGACGTGTCTTTGCCAGAGGAGGATGGTCATCGTCATTTTAAGGATTTGTGGAGGGCTTCGCCTTCGGACGACGATGTACCTGGTTTATCGGCGCCTCTACAACCAGGGGTTCCTTTTAGAGATGTAAACCCAACCGTCCAAATTGTTGCCGATGTTGCATCCACCGAACAAGAGGACTTGTTGTCCTTGTTGGGTAACGAAACGACACCAGATGTGACCTTTGGTTTACCAATCCATGAGCGAATTGCAAACAACCTTAATTTCATCTTAAGGAGTGGGTTAAAGACCGAAGATTTGAACAGGCTTTTATCAAAATACCCAATTCCTGAAAATTGCAGGGCTTTTAAAAGCCCGGAATTAAATGCCATTGTCCAGCACTCTTTATGCGATAAATTTGTGCAACGGGACAAAAAATTGGCTAATCTGCAGTCACGGATAGGTACCGCCATGGCAGCTTCAGCGAATTGTCTCAACAAATTGCTGGAAATTAAGAACATTGACAAAGGCTTAATAGAATCTTTGAACGATGCGTTGAAAATTTTGTCGGACGTACATTTTAATGAAAGCCAGGTTCGGAGGTCCTTGATTCGTTCGAATATAAATGATTCTTTACGATTAACACTGGACAACAATGGGATCGACGATTTCCTTTTTGGAAGTGATCTCGAAGAAAAGGTCAAAGCGACCAAACACTTGGAGAAAGCTTCCAGGGATTTAAGCTTGACGAAGCCGAAACCCAGCAATACTAAATCAAAAAACGGACAGAACCCGCTTGCATTCAATCGCTTCCGTTACAGAGGAAGAGGGGCCAGCAGACCGCAGAATGCAAGCGGAACAAAACGGCTGATGGCAAATCGAGTCCCTTACGGGAAGAAACCTTTTCAATTCCGACCTTAGTAAGTAAACCAGCAGGCAGATTAGCTTCATTTTACTATGCATGGAAGGGCATTACTAATGACCCCGTTGTTTTGTCTTATGTTAAGGGATATAAGATTCCTTTTTGTAAAAAAGTTAAGCCGGTGGCTCGCTTTACTGAACCGATTCGGTCTGTTAAGGAAAAGCAAGCCATCTCCCTTCACGTTTCGAAGCTGTTAGCTTTAGGAGCGATTGTAGTTTGTGATTCCGCAGAGGATCAATTTTTGTCAGGTATTTTTTTGGTTCCTAAAGCTGATGGAACGTCTAGATTTATTTTAAATTTAAAACATTTGAATACTTTTATCAGTACATCTCATTTTAAAATGGAGGACTGGCGAACAGTTACGGGTCTTTTACAGGAGAATATGTTTATGGCTACAATAGATCTTAAAGATGCCTACTACCTTGTCCCAATTCATAAGAGTTCTCGAAAGTTTTTAAGATTTATATTTAATGGTCTGACTTATGAGTTTACTTGTTTACCTTTTGGTCTATGTACAGCACCTTTCATTTTCACCAAGCTAATGAAACCTGTGTTTGGCTTTCTCCGTAAAGAAGGACTGTTATCTGTTACTTATTTAGATGATTTTTTGCTTTTAGGTGACTCTTTTACTAGTTGTACAAAGAACGTTGAGAAAACGTTGTGTTTGTTGAATAGTCTTGGTTTTATTTTAAATAAGAGCAAGAGTCAGTTTATTCCCTCTAGAACTTGTTCTTATTTAGGTTTCATCTTTAATTCTGAGAACTTGACGGTTGGTTTGCCAGAAAAGAAAATTCTTAAAGTGTTAGCCTTAATTGATAATTTCGTTTTTGGTAAAGATTACACTTTGCGAGACTTCGCAGTTTTGACGGGGACGTTGGTTTCCTGTTGTCCAGCAGTCAGCTTTGGTTGGGCACATTTTAAAGTTTTTGAACGTGTAAAATTTAGGGAATTGGTTGTTAACAATAAAGACTTTGACGATTCCATAAAATTTCCCTTAGCTTTAGCCCGAGACCTAAGTTGGTGGAAGCAGAATTTATTTATTCCAAATAGGATTAGACGATTTAATTATGTTTTAGAGATTTTTTCCGACGCCTCGAAATCAGGTTGGGGCATTTATTGTCAGGGAAATACAACTAGGGGGTTATGGACTTCGTTAGAACAAAATTTTCATATCAATAGTTTGGAATTATTGGCCGCGTTCTTTGGTTTAAAATGTTTTGCATCCCATTTGTCTAATTGCGAAGTTTTGCTTCGTATAGACAATACGACAGCTATCGCCTACATTAACAAATTTGGGGGAACTCGTTACTTCACCTTAAATAAGTTATCACAGGACATCTGGCAGTGGTGTGAGGCTAGAAAGATTTTTATTTTTGCCGCTTATATTTCGTCAACGAACAATAGTTTAGCTGATCGTGAATCTAGGACTTTAGATGTGGATACAGAATTTGAATTAGCAGATCCAATTTACCAACACATTATTGGATATTTTGGCTCTCCAGACATTGATTTGTTCGCATCTAGATGCAATGCCAAATGCAACTTGTTTGTTTCCTGGAAAAGAGACCCGCAATCTGTTGCAGTGGATGCCTTCACTTTAAATTGGTCCAAATTTAGGTTTTATGCCTTTCCTCCCTTTTCCATGATACTTAAAGTTTTACAGAAAATAAAACATGACAAGGCAGAGGGTATTGTGGTGGTTCCTTTCTGGCCCACTCAGCCATGGTGGCCCTTATTTAAAACTTTGTGCACTAAGGAACCGCTTATTTTCGACCCTAGTAATGCTCTGATTTTACCTTTCAGAAATCGACTCCACCCTCTAGCGACATCTCTTTCCCTGGCTTCCTGCAAGTTGTCAGGAAGGCGTACTTATTAAGAAATATTCCTGAAGAATCGATCGATCTCCTACATGCGTCACTATCTCTTTCTACGAGAAAACAGTATTCTTCAGCGCTTTCTAAGTGGTGGACCTTTTGCAAGGGAGAAGGCCATGACTTTTATAGTAACTCCCACAAGGAAATAATTAAATTCCTCACGTTGGAGTTTAATAGAGGAGCTTCATTTAGCTATTTGAATTGTTTAAGATCTGCCATTAGTTATATTGTGGGTAATGAATTTTCAAACACCCTTGAAATCAAGCGACTTTTTAAGGGAATTCTCAGGAGGCGCCCTCCCAGCCGCAAGTATGATTCCATCTGGAATCCGAAGATAGTTTTAAATCATTTTCAACAGCTTGGTCCTCTAGAGGGGTTAAGTTTGAAGTTGTTATCGTGCAAGTTGATTACCCTACTAGCTTTGACTACAGGACACAGAATTCAAACCTTCTCAAAAATAAAAGTGTCTAACATCTCCTCTTTAGAAGATAGAATTGAAATTCGGATTCCAGATGAAATCAAAACTTCAGGCCTAAATAGGAAACAACCACTTCTTGTTTTACCTTTCTTTTCTGACACGAGAATTTGCGCAGCCTCCACCCTAAACGCTTATATTGCCAAAACCGAATCCTTACGGAGCTCAATCGATAACCTTTTTATCTCCTATTCAAAACCACATGGTGTTATCACCAGTACTCAAACTTTAAGTCGATGGGTTAAGAATACTCTATCGGATAGTGGAGTCGATGTTAATACTTTTAAAGCCCATAGCGTTAGGCATGCCTCAACATCAGCCGCTTTTGAGGCAGGTGTTAACTTTGAATACATTCGAAAATCGGCAGGCTGGTGTAAAGATTCTCAAACTTTTGCGAATTTCTACAAGTTACCTATTTTAGAATCGGATGTATTTGCTAATTCGATTTTTAACTCTTAAGTTGTACATTGTATTTTGTTATTATTCCTGTCTTTATGTCAATATGTTTTGTGTTTTCCTTTAGACTAGATTTGAAACTATTTTTAAGTTTTTTGATGATCTTTCTTCTTTGTTTAATATATTTTGACAAACTAAAATCACGGCTTTCAACATCTACAATTGAACATGAGAGCAGTGATGTCGAAATACAATTACTAGATTAAACGAACTTACCTCGTGAAGTTCTGATCGTAATTGTATGAGACATCACTGCCGAAATGTTCAATCCCACCCACCTCTTCAGGCTTTTCTAGCACCCTTCTGGATTTTAGTTTGCAGCTTTCAACAATGAATACTTTACCTACGAAGGGCAAGGTTGCGGAAGGGGGAGTAGCTATTTTTAGACTTGCTTTTGATGCGTGAAACTTCAGTACTGTAGGACAAGTACTACAATTGAACATTTCGGCAGTGATGTCTCATACAATTACGATCAGAACTTCACGAGGTAAGTTCGTTTAATCTAGTAATTGAAAAGTATTTTAACACTATATTGTATTACTATTAAACTACAAGCTACCAACATTAAACAAAGTAGTAAAAATGTGTACCTTTCCGCAAACGATAGTGTAGAATCTCCAACATAACTCAATCCATGCAATGAGGAGTTTCTTAGGTAGTCGTCAATATATTGCCAACATTTTCTTGAAAAACTCATTACTTTGATATTACGTGTACACGCTACCTACGCTTCCTTTGGGAATAGTCAAATCTAATTGAATACGCAACAATAAACCTACCCGCTTTATACACTCCTCCTCTTACACAAATTCGTATTTTAGTAATTGAAATTGAAGAAATTGTATACACCAATAGAGTTAATATTGAATCCATTAATAAACTCACCGTATGGATGTATTTAATTACAAATTCAGGAATTAAGATTGATGTAGGTGGTAGTTTGTTAAGGCTACCTGAATTATTTATGACAGAACATCACACGATTTCAAATATCCTAATTGGAAATTGATAAAGCACCGAAGTTCGGCATGATTGAGTAGCTTCGCTTGTACGAAATATCGGGTGAGCGATAATTACCTACACGAAAAAACATGTTGTAATAGTTATTAGGATACAAATACTTACACTTAATTTCTTTATTACCTACATCCATCACCATCAATCAATGAGTTGTATACTTAGGAAACAATCCCATTAATCGCTAGCCAGTGGTCGAATTTCGAACATACGATGCTCGATTCCCCTTAATATGTTTTATTGCAATATTGTCGGTAGGTATCTTAATTCATAGTAGTGAGGTGTATGAAGAACCAATCCTGCCTCAGGTACTGCCGTACGATATTAAATCCGTCATTACGCGGTCAATGGCATAATCCCTCTACATACCCAAAATGTTATGGTCATAGGCAAAATCTACATATATTACAAATTACATCATGGTCAGAGTAGAAGCGTTGATTGATTGTGTATTTATGAATCAACGGTAGAAGGCAAAAACGTCTTGCTATGAGCGAATAGTATGAAAGATTTTTTAAAGGGATACCGAACAACTATTGCTTTGAATTGGATTCGAGAAAAATGCGAAAGGCCTCGCATCTCTTTTTTCCGATTCTTCGTACAGTTTTCGTACAACCTATTAGAGGTGTTTTGACTAGAAAAATCCTGAACGTATTGTTTCGATGGCCAATGAACTAATTTCATGAATTTTTGAGAACCATGATCGATTCCAAAGTCTGGTATCTATTCAACAGAATTTGATCAATCGGATCAACGTTGATGGTGATAAAACGGTAATATTCAAATTTTCGGCTTCGAAAGTCTTTGGGATCACTGTTACGTGCATTAAAAAACCATCAAATTTTCTGATTTTTTCTTGTTCTCAACAAGAATGTGATAACAATTTGGCCTTGGTCGGACAAATAGATTTGCAAAATCTTTAAAATAAAGGATATTTGAGAGTTCTCTTTAGTTTTCGTCAATGTTGACATATTATTACACGATCCAAGGTAATCGTTGCGTTCAGTAGTCGATATGTCGCTTACCGGCGGAATGCGTAGTTCTGAGTCATCGCGTGGGAATTTCAAAAATTAGAGCTGCATTCACATACGCGATACAGAATTTTTCATCAGCGATCTTCTAATCCACCCTTGCGAACAATTAAGAGCAGGGTATTCAGTACTTCTAGATGTAGGGCTTCTGGGGATATAAATTGAGGTTGACAAACATTTTTCGAAAATGTCATACTTTTTAAAGTATCTAGCAGGTATCCGAAGAACTTTCGGGGTCAAAAACTCAATTATTACTATAGCAGCCGGATATCGGATTTATGGCTCAGTGGTAGAGCATTGGGTTATAAATCCGGAGGTCGGGTGTTCGAACTTGGGTTGAGGTGAATTTTTCATCTGTGGCGGAGATGGAAATTACCTTAGACCAGTTCCGAGCATTCTACCGGCTACTCCGAATTAGGTTTTCCTGCAGTTTTCCTAATTCGTAAGGTAAATACCGGAGTAGTATGGACCATCTTAAGACCTTCTGCAGAGGCACTTCTAAATAGCATTATGCGGGTCACTCTGTAATTGGGCGCATGCCTGTTGAGAGCCCAAAACAAGAGAGCAGCAGCACAACCATCACAAAAAAATAATCAAAATCCACACGTGAATGTTGTCAGCGCAAATCAATTTTACAAGTTGAAAAACCGCGCGAATTTTGATCCACAACACTATTTATGGTCTAAACATAGAAAAAACGGGTTTATCACAATCAGGGTATGCACACATGCAATGTAGGGAAGAATTTTCAAGACACATCGGAAAAGCATTACAATATTTCAATTCGAAAAAAATCTTAGATACTTCAACATTACCCACCACTGCAAACTTATGAGTAAAAGGATTGGCATTATACCTAAAATCTCAGTAGGTTTTACGGGTTTGCAGTACAGTTGGTCTGAACTAGTCCAACTTCTTTATTTTTCACATCCTAAGGCACTTCATGTTGATCCCAAACAAAACTGTTACGCACTAAAATCTTCACCGACAGATCACACGTTTCACTTTCCCTTTGCAAGCACCCGCTTCCGACACTTATTTCTAGGGATAACGTATAGGTGGTCCAGGAGGCAGCGACATTCTTCATGCACTCAATTCTATAAAGCTGATCGTCTGCCACGTTATTGTTTTGATAGTACAAGCATTGAATAAGTTTATTCAATGGTACAAGTAAAAAAACCGCAGTCTACCGCGTCGGCGGTGTTGCCTACATTTGCAACAATGTTCTTAACATGTTAATAAATAATATGTTGTACAGTACATGCCTTATATCTACAAGAATGAAAATGTTTACAGTAACTATGTATACCTAAAAATGAAGTATGGTAATAGTCTACCGAGCTGGCAGCGTTGCTATCACAAGTCTACCACCCACGCTAGTTGCATAAAAAATTGTCATAAGACACCAAAAACAAGTATAGATAGTGCACTACTCTTGTGCAGATAAAGCGCATTTTTTAAACCGAAATAGCTTAGTAAATGGTTGGGTTATAAGATAGTAACGTGCTATCGATGTTTACTTTCTTGGTAGATGATTAATGGAGAGGAAGTTCTTTACACATAAACATTTAAAGACAGCCTGGGCATACATTCAAAATCCTCCGACCCCCCATTATGCAGATATTTGCAATGAAAGCTTTGACACACCAAAAGATATGTTTCTGACCTCTGAAGTTCTACTTGCCTTTTATGAGTATCCTCTTCCGACACTTCGTGGTGAAGGTATTTGCACAGCTTACTTACTATCCAGCTGCACAACTCTCTTGGCGGGAGCGGTTTGCGCCGATCTACGCGCGCAGCGCTTATGTTCCGCCTCTTGGGGTAAGAGACTGCATTGCCTGTTTGGCGTGCAATCAAGCCCAGTGTTGCCACGTTGGCCATTGTCCCGAATTCAATTCAATTAGGCAATAAAATGTATTAAACACCTAACCCTAGTTTCATTGCAATATTACGTAATATTGTACAGCAAATTCTAAACGTTCACATTACAATACAGCTCAAAAATCACCTACTACGGTACTGTGAAGCGACCGCGCGATGAAAATACGTTTAATCCGGCCCCGACTTTTACCCCAAGCGCAAGAAGGAGGGCACCATTCCATCTCGCTTGGTTGTAGACCGCCAGATCAAAGGCGCCGCTCAAGAGTTGCGGAGCTGGATAGTAAGTAAGCTGTGGTATTTGTTTTGACTTCACCAGACACTAATAGATACGTCTCGTCAAGTCGACTTATTTTACCCTAGGTACCCTCTTCCGACAATCCGTTCTGGAGATATAAGGGAATATATACCAGATCACGATAAGGGGTCGAGGAGGAGGACTATGGTTGTTGTAGAAATTAATTCCTTTCGTCGAGACCTTTCATTAGAGTACCTGAAGGATAAAACCAGTTCCAGTTTCGGACGAACGGACCGACAAAACGTAAACAATAGCACATTTTTTTAATTTCTTACATAATGCGCTAAAAATTGGCCTACCCTTCGCGTAATATTGCTGAGGTCTCGGTAGACATGCTGGAAGGTACGGTTTCCCGAGCGCAACTGCTGCACCGCTCTGCGAAAATTACCTCTACCTCTACATACAAATACAGGCAATTAACATGGAAAATAGTTTTTTTGCAGATCGTTGCTCTTCATGTTAACTTCATTATTCAAGTCGAAATCAATATCAATATCAGTATGACAACTGTCAATAATTTTTTTTAGCGCATTTTTTGAGAATTAAAAAAAATGTGCTATTGTTTGCGCTTTGTCCGTCCGTCCGTCCGGACCCACTTCTCTACCGTTTTGAACTACTTCTAGGGGAAGTAGGTAGCCTATACCTTGAAGGTGTGCCAGACAGCCATCAAATTTCGCTGTCTAAAAGGCCCCCCCCTCCCCACGAATTATTTTCTGAGATGCTGTTCTTAGTAAAACGTGCATAACTTTTACATACGACAACCAATAGGTCTCATATTTTGCATACGCATGCCTTTAGTGGTTCCAAGTTAAACGTTATATGGTGGGGGGGGGGGGTTAAACACATGTTTTATCCTTCATGGTATTCTAATGAAAGGTCTCAACAAAAGGAATTAATTTATACTAACCATAGTCTTCCTCCTCGATCCCTTGTCGTGATCGGTTATAATTCCTTATATCTTAAGAGTGAATTGTCAAAGGAAAGTACCTACAAAGGGCGATTGGGACGTTTGGAAGAAATATAACCATTAGGCATTTAATTTAAATAAAATTTGATACATATCCACTTGGAATAAAACTAAATTTAACGCCAGTTTCAAAATTTGGTTTTGCGCATGCGCAGTGCCAACTTCCTTATTTATGGAGGCATTCAAATGAAATTTGATACATATCCACTTGGAATAAAAGTAGCGCCAGAAGAAGAAATTTCGTAGGTGTGTTTAAAAAAAATGCGCTTTACCTGCACAAGGGTTGTGCACAATTTGTACTTATACCTACTTGTATAATTTATTCACCGAGGAAACAAGTATTTATAATAAACGACGTTTACAGCGGAAATAGTTAGGTACGCGTACACGATATTTGTTTTCCATGCATTTTAATGAGCGCCCCATTCTGTGTGGTGACCGCGAAAACGCGAGTAACGATTTCCAAGCAATATCTCGGTACGGTTAATTTTTCACCTCACTGTACTTTCCGGTGCCCCCGTAGCGGAACCCCTAGGCATACTTGGACTTGGCGACCACAAAAGTACAACAGTAGTGTGACTATTGCTCCTGCTCCAGCCACCACTCTGAAGTCACATTACGTGGCCTGACGTTATATTTCGTGGCTATGGCGGTAAATTTGAATTTGTGCGGGAGATTTGAATTTT